AAGGAGCGAATTTACTCCATCACCAAGGAGTAAAATTGGTCTCCTCCTCTGTGAGTAAAATCCGGTAAAACGCTACCCTCAGAAAGTGATAGGGATGTCGTGCAAATAAGAAAAAATTCTGATATATATTGTGCGTCGTTTTCGCATAGGCATTGACCTACCTCTGACTGTACTGATGACAGTACACGTCAGAGGTTGGACCACCTCTTATTGGTTCTGCGGAGTATCCGGGATATCAGTCCCTTATTACCTCATTTCATTTCATTGAGGTCTGATTGAATGAATTCACGGACACTTTATATTCTAGGTCTTCTATGCGGATGAGATTATACGCGTTTCAAAAGGGTTCTCAGTAGGAATATGAGCTTGTTTATGGTCTGGACTCCATGAATATGTCTTGAACATGTGGATAACAAATGATGAAGTGTCCGTCTTTATTGATTCCTATAATGAGACTAGGCGAGACATACGGCAAGGTACTAAACAATCCTGCAAGGGACGATTCCAGGGAAAGAGGGAAGGGAACTTTTGTATACTATAATTTGGTGAGTAATAAGAGAGTAAATTCGAAAAGCTCACGGTGTGCTCACTTTTTACTCCCAAAACGCTCGGAATCTTCTAGGAGTGTATGTCTCGCCTAGTCTCTTTATAGGAATCAATAAACACGGGCACTTCATCCCGTACTCATCTTGCAACTGCTTGCTTGCCTGTGTTATCTCGAGTACGTACTCGTCCTAACGTCCGCGCTTAGAAACGCCTTTAGAAAATCCTTTTTTTCTCATTGAAGTGTGTCTTGTAAGAGAAATCTGCTGGTGAAAAACATTTCGTTTCTGAACATTCTATATCTTACGATATGGATTAATGTTATTTCCTTGCTAATATTATTATAACGCTTATTTTTCGTCATGCTTGGAAATGGCAACCATGGGATCCATAGAGTGAGAAAATTTAAGAATGTTTCAGATTGGTTCAATTTCTAACGTGTCACGTCGTGAGAGCGTAATTAGTAATGTGACTGGAGGACATTTTCCTGTTATTAGTGATCAGTCCTCTGTGACAGCGATGAGTCATGCTGATGATCAGAATCCCTCAGGAAGTGCCCAAAACAATTTACATACAAGACCAACTGTTCCCAAACGTGGTAGGGTAAAAGACCCAGTGATGGGCCTGCTAAGGGCGGGTACTCAGTGATGGGCCACGTCGCAGGAAAATTCCAAAAACTAAGTATTTGTTCCATAACCACCTCTGAAGTGTGTGTGTGCTTGAATGCTGCTAGCCTATGTCACAACAGGGGTAGGCGAGCTATGGAAGTATATCTATTGGAATTTTTATGTGCTGTGACCCATCACTGGGGACCTGTCCATCACTGGGTCTTTTCCCCAACGCGTACCATTTGGGGTACCAAAAAGTTTTTAAACATGCTTATTTTTAAATACTCGCTCAATATAGCACAAGTGTTATGTACTCTGTCGGATTTGCATGTGGGAGAAGTGGTGATACGCTACATATGCACCCAGGAGGGGAGAAGTACGCAGAGGTCGAAAGTTTGGAAATCGCTTTACTAGACCCTCCTCCAAAATTCTGAGTTTGTACTTAATTTCAGCACACCAAATTCGGAAATATCCAAAAATGGCACCAGTTACCATTCTTTACATATCGCCTAGCTAAATGAGGAGTCTTCCGTGAAAGGTGTGTTTATTCATTTTCGCTTTTTTAAAGTTCTAAAGTGATGTTATTGCTGTTAGTACTTGCGGCTAACCTTCTCAAAAAAAACGTGGACACCGTGTGGAGGTCTTGTGCATCTGCGCTGGACGCCGAAAGGGTTAAAGCAGTTTCATTTATTGCGATGATGGATCTTCTTGAGAGCTAAACGTCAAGAGGAAGTGTATCAGACTACTGGATTTATGAACTGCGATGTTATGACTAGAAGCGTGCGGGTCTAACGTTTCACGCATGACACACGCGTGTCTCAAGCCGGATTTGGAGAGGGGGCTCATCATGAGCATGACAAGAACGGAATTCATTAGCTGGTGGGATTTTTTATTATACGAGAGCAAGAAGAAAGAACAGAGGGACAGGTAATTATTCTCACCTAGCCACAGGAACGTCATTTCATTAAATATAGGGGGAAGAGAGTAGCAGGCCCGTAAGGAGACAAAGGGGTGTGAGTAAGATGAGGGTTTGTCCTCCCCCCCCCCCCCCCCCGAAGTTTTCCCGAAATTTGTTCCTGCTTAGCCGAAGCAAGCTTCTTCTCGACCGTCAGTTTTCCATGCCATACGGGAAGAAACTCTTAACAGTATTCATGTCAGTTTACGATCAAGAAAAGAAGCAGCGAGATGCATGTTTTTTTGCGCCCTCACTATCTTGGTCATGATAGAATATGCGCAATCGCGATTGAGCGTGCGAGTGATTCGGAGGGAAGTTTTCCTCTCCCGATCGTGAGTGACTGAGAGTTGAAAATCCCTCGCAATGCAAAAGTAGTGAAACGTATCCTTATGAATGAATGCATGTTGTATTTTGATATGCAAGAGAGATAGCATCCAATCTGCGTTTCCTTTCTAAAATACCGGCTGTTGCACATAGATAGTCCCCCTCCCCACCCCGTTATGATCGCCATTTACCTTGCCCAGATAGGAGTTAAATTCACTCCTTTACTGCAGGAAACTTCAATTAAAAAAGGAAGTGAAAGCACTTCATAGACAAGAACATCACACTTAGCTGGGGCCATAGCAACCAAAGGTGGAAAGAGAAATTTTATGGTTGAGGTTTCAAGGACTCCTGCTGTTAATCCAAGCAATGTTGGGACTTGAAACAAGTTGGTCAATCCAAGGTTGGCAGGGAACTGACAGCTTTGCTTGCTGACACGTCGACGCGCCCATAGTGTGTGTCGCACGCGCATGGGCATTGTGGTCCAGAACCTCAAGGGCTCACCGTTACTCATGCCTTACCCTCGAGACCAAAATTCAAATCCGAAATTTGCAATAAAAATGCCAATTTTGGTGCAATATCGTCACAAAACGAACTCATCCTGCATCTGGTTCGAAAGGGTTCACAAACCCTAAGATAAGCTTAGCCTAGCGCCAACGAAAACAATTCATATCACAGCACAAACATTTTTTAAGTTATCGCTGAGCAACCAAAGTGTGACACACGGACTCACGGACGGATAGGACGGGACCATGAGTGGTCTCTTTCCTTTCAGGAAAGGAGGCCCACTAAAAACCAAGAACTATACTGTAAACATTTGAGAGTGTTTTGGATTCGCCACAAAATATCTCAAAAGCGCCAGAACTGTAACAGAAAGCTTTCTTTTGCTCAACTCGGTGTATGCACGTAACACAATGAGATAATTCAACATACACTAACTACTACGAATTCAGAGGCCCGCACAGGTTGACCTTTCCCAGTTGAAACTCGATCGGCCCGATTCGAATCGTGGCCCGTACCCGTCCTATAAAGCGATCGTCGACCGAGCTTTGCTACTCCAAGCCACGAATCTTCTTGAACTGACATGTCCGGTCTGAAGCATGCTCAGACCTCTAAAGGCCCTGATACACGAGACAAAAGCTTGCTAGCAAGTCCTGCCTTAAAGGGGCAAGCGCGGGTATTCACGATGCAAGGACTTGCCTACCGTTGCACGAAAGTTGTCAAGCATCTGTTAAAAGAGCGAAAACTCACGCCTACTAATAGACGTAAGGGAGATCTATGACTACAGTTGCAGACTACTATTTATGAATAATTATGATTACATGGCGCCACAACTCTCCATCAGGAATAGTCGAAAGTTCACAAACCCTAAGATAAGCTTAGCCTAGCGCCAACGGAAACAATTCATATCCCAGCACAAATAACATTTTTGAGAGAGAACCGAATCACTGACTCTGGACGAGACTGACTTGCATTCATGACGGCTAAGATAACAAAGACAAGCGTGAAGGTGTTAGGGAATTTTCCTCTGGGTAAACGGGAATTTCACATTTCAGTCTTAGCTCTTTTCAAGATCATGCTTTTGGAAGAGTTCTTTCTCATGAGCTTCAGATCAGAATCGGGGATTCCACTACTTTTCCCTTTTTCCCCCTCTCTCAAGTTTTCAGAAGACCTTTCAGGTTATGATTATGAGAAAAAAAAAACAGATAGACATACGTAAACGATGAGGTAACGTTTCGTATGGGCTTACTAAAAAATTATTTATTTTTCGCATTTCTGCATTGCATTAATAGGAAAATGTGTTCTCTGGACCCAGTGGTTAGATGCATTTTTTTAAATCTAGCTGGCTGTCCCGAGGTAAAGAACGTCGATGGATTTCGATTATAATAGGGAAAAAATTTGAGAATCATTAGCCGAAAGTTTAAAATGGACAAAGTCATGGCTTTCCATCTGTTCCTCTCATCACAACAAAGAGAGATTTGTGGATTAGTGATGATGTAATTTTGCGAAGTGACGTGGAGTCTTCCCCCATCCATCCCTTATTTGCAAGATCCTTCTGGGCAATACAAGATTAATCGCAAGGACAATAACAGCGGAAAACAATAAAGCACAGCTGAACGAAACGCTTCGCATGATCATCGTAGCAGGCAAAGGCGAACGAAACGGCCGGATGTTACAAACAGCCATTGTTCCTTCATCTCTCATTCCTTGATTTCCTAGCAGCTTGCGCATGGTGTAGAAGGGGTTGTGATGGTTTCTTTCGAAGTCCCGAACTGCAGCAGGATCACCATGTAAGTCAGCATGGCGTTTGCAAACTGGACGCAGCAAATAAAACCAACCAAATCCATGAAACAGGCAGAAAATACCGTAAAAAAATTGAAGACAATTTCGATCATGAACGGCACGAACGAGACGAAAAGAGGCCGATGGAGACGGATGAACCCCGCAGCGGAGATCCTCAGGGGGACGTCCCTTACAACAATCACGAATTCCTGGATCCCAGGGGAATCCGGGTGATCGGATCGAAGCGCCGAGAGTCCGCATTTCAGTTCCCCGGACTACATCAGCGTCAAGACATTCAATAGTGGCCAATGTTTCTTATTAAAAAAAAAATCAAATGAGCGAAGCCACTCACGATTCGGAGAAGGTGATTGGCACATTCGATGATGATGAAGAATGGAATGGGGGCGGCCGCGACTGTCAGGCTGCTGAGGAGGATTCGTGACGAAGGCGTCCCCCACAAAGCGGACTGCATCAATAAGTAGAGCTCAGAGAAACTGATGAAGAAGGCTTCCCCCAGCGTCAAAAGTATCGCCCATCCGAAGACGTCCGTCAAGTCGGCAGTCAGCGCCCAGATTTTCACGTACCTTTCTCTGTATACCGACATCATGATTATGGGTGGTAAAAGAGGGAATTGAAGAATCGCGTTGGATCTTACTGCATTTCGGCCAATGCGTCTTCGTTCAATATTCCTTCGGGATTATGCATGTCTTCGATGAGATCTCGAAGGAATGACGCAATCCGAAGAAGGAGTGCCATGAAAACTACGGCAATCCCAGACATGACCAAAGTCAAAGGAATGAGATACTCCCAACCGATGAGGATTTCGACTGCGAAATGCAAAGGAGAGACGACTAAGGCTGCAGCAAGGGGAAACGTGAACTCCTGGAGCCGTTTCCGCGGTTTCCTCGGAATGTCGTCCACCTTTGCGAAGATTTTCTCGATTCGCGGACCCGAGACCAGAAAGAAGGCAATGACAACCCAGGCGTAGGTGATGGCAACCGTGAATTGAAGCGTGGTGACCACTTCCTCGAGAGAACGGCGCGCTTCGAACAAGAAGCGAAGCACCTTCCAAAGGGTGGAAATGAGGACAACGGTCATATAAACAAGAAATCCCATGGAATAGAAGGCCGGGAAGGACACGAGCTGGAACTGGAGCTCCGAGCGGAATATCCCAGTAAAGGGAAAACATCCTCCCAGGAAGAGAAGGACGGAGGAGGCCCTGAATGTGTCCATGAACTTATCTGCCTTCACCTGCATCTTGCATTCGTCTATCGCCAGGCAGAACTCTCGAGCAACACTGAACCCAACTGAACAGGGAGACTCACGTTCTATTCATAGAAGATCTGAGATCGCACACACCTTGGCCAAACAAATTTCGCAAGCTACTTCATTTGTGGAAGAGTATGGATCTGCTAAGCACTCGCCGGAACCTGTATAGATTGTGGGACATCAAATAAGAAAAAAGAGGGAATTACGACGCCTACATCCAATCAAGAGTGATTCAGGTCAGATAATGTTTTATTTTTCCAATGCCATCCGTAGATGGAAAAAAAAAAACATATTGGAGGTGCATGTACCACGTGAATCTCTGCACGCATTAACGACGACTGAAGTTTTGTTTTCTCACTTCTCCGGACCTAGAAGAAAGAAATCCCACATTGCGTTGTCCGCGTACCCCGCGGAACATCCCCAACAGAATGTACATCCTTTTCGAATGGTGTGTGTTTCGTTTCGTACGAAGAGAAGTCGTTACAGGCGGCTTCGTTACTGCGGTTCGGTGTCTGGACTCGGGAGCTCGAGTCCGATGCTCATGACTTGGATCATCGAATCCCCCGCCTCAGTCTGCTTCAACCTAAGCCTGCATTCAGATGGGTGGTCTCGTAATGTATCCTTATGCGAGGGATACCCATTAAAATATTTGCCAGCTACCTGGAAGCATCGATTTTTCAGAGAAAATTCGTTGTTTCGACTTAGTCTTAGACTTGGACTCACGAACACACCGATCCTCTCCTTACAGCTATTCTCATGCGCGGGAGACAATTTGGTACCTTGTCTTACGAATGAATATTCATGGATTAAATACTTTTTTTGTTGATCTGTGATCATCTCGTCGCCACAGACGGATGAAACTGGTAACGATTCATAACGATTATTTACTTCCTCGCAGTGCAGGAAATGGGTAGCTCATTCCGTAACAGAACGTGATTCAATCGAAGATGGTCCTTACTCCGGGTCGACTTTCCGAGTTGATCATAGCGAAATTCGCAATTTTCAAATCATACTGCTGGGACTGGGAATGGTCTGGTCCCGTTGGGTCCACCAAATGTGATCCATCATTCAACGTTGCGACATTGTCACAATGAGTCCACAGAATTTGCCTCGGTTTAACGGTTCATTCATATGAATCGTGAGCGCCGCACAAGTTCACTTGAAATGTGCTAAATATATATATGGGAGTAAAATGGCGAGGACTTCGACTAATCCACTACTCTTTGGGAACTCAATGAGGGATTCATGATTGGAACTGTGTCTGAAGATCACCCCGTTCTTCGAGGACTTCCACACCGTAATGTCAGCATCGAAAGCCCGACTATTTATTTTCGTAGATCCTCATAATAATACTCCGAAACTCACGTTAATTATCAATTAGGCAGCATGCATCCATTTGAATGGCGAGATTAAGACGGTTTTGAATTGATTTACATGTCCGGCAGCGTGCGGAATGCTCTCATAAAAAAGTCCCTTCTCATTGTTTATTCTCTGCTTTGATGAAATGTGGAAGTCTCTCTTATGGACCGCAGAGACCACAAATGTCTGCTCTCATCAGCAAGGGAATGAAGATCATGCTTCATTACCGGGATATTTTGCTGGACTTTTATTGGATATTCAAGAGCATCAATTGAAATAAAAACAACAGACTGAAAACCTTTACAATTTTAGCTGCGAATTAAAAAAAAAAACCATTTCATTATTTTCAGGGTGGTCCAAATAATGTGTTCCTTTATTCCTGATTTTGCAATTTTTTAGAATTCACGTAGGTTCGTGCCATGAACCCAGCTGCGGAGATGTTCACGGGGAGGTCCTTCACAGCCCGAGAGAATTCCCGTATCCCAGGAGATTCTGCGTATCCAGTTCGAAGAGCCAAGAGTCGGCATTCCAGTTCCCCAATCTGAATCGACACGAGGGCATGCAAAAATGACCGGCTTTCTGTTCGAACGGACGGAGGGAACCGACTCACCTTTCGACATAGATGATGAGAACTCTCGATGAGAACCACGAATGGGACGAGAGCGGCCGAGAGGGCCAGGCTGCTGACGATTGGGAATTGGGGGATCCCCTGTTGACCGGGAGTCAACAGTTGGTAGAGCTCAGTGAAACTGACGCAGAATGCCTCCATCATGGTTACAAGTACCGGCCATCCGAAGACGTCATTCACTTCGGAAGTCAAAGCCCAGATTTGCGCGTACTTTTCTCTGCATGCGGACGATACGGTGACGGTCGGTTCGCCTTTAATGAGTGAACCGTGTGGAATCTTACCGCAATTGGAGCAACGCCTCTTCTTTCAATTCTTTCTGGAGTACGTGCAAGTCTTCGATGATGTCTCGAACAAAGGACGCGATCCGAAGGTGGAGTGCCATGAAAACGACGACGATCCCCGACATAGTCAGAGAGAGAGGAATCAGAAACTTCAAATCGATGATGATGACAGCGGTGGAATTCAAAGCGGCGACAACGACAAGGACGAGAAGAGGCAATACGAACTCCGCGACCCTCTTTCGCGGCTTTCGCGTGAGAGCGTCCACTTGGGCGAAAATTGCTGCAATACGCGGACCGGAACAGAAATAAAAGATAACGACGACGCCGGGGTAAACGATGCGGACCGACGTTTGAAGAGCGGCGAGCACCATCTGAAAGGAACGACGCTCTTTGAGCATGAATGTAACGATGCTCCGAAGGATGGAAAAGAGAACGACGGCGATATAAAGGAGGAATCCCATGGAATAGAATGAGGGCAGCGATACAGCTTGAAACCGGAGCTCCGAGCCGAACATCCCCGTGAACGGGAAACATCCTCCCAGGGAGAGAAGGACGGAAGGGGCACGGAACGTATCCAGGAACTTTTCACCGTTCACCATCTTGGTCGCGCTAATCACCATACCAAACGCACGAATGGGATCGAACGCAACAGGGCGATGGAAATTAAGATCTAATCGATCTACCACGCCCTCCGTGCCACACATCCGGAGACGGGTCCATTAACGAAATTGGAGGAATAAACCATCGCATGTGGGAAAATAGCCGGATGAGACGCAATGAGCATAATGAAACTACGGTGCCTACTTTCCATCTCACGTGATTCTACGAGAATGGGATCTGGCAACTTGTTCGTATTCCCCATTTCGCTACTAGAGGAGACAAATACACAAAGCAGATTCGTACGAATGATTGTACTCTTTGTCTAAAGTACTCTTTGACACCAACATAGTTTACGAGGCGCGTTCTGCATTTGTGGCATTGGCTGAGAAAATGGACCTACAACAAAGGTTTTCGAGAGAAACGGCTTCAAAGTGAAGGAATAAGTCTAGGAACTCGTCAATCTCTCCTAAATTTTAATGGCCTTTAAGCATGTCCTAATCTCCAACCAAGAGTAGGTGGCACGGATTCATATTGTCACGGAGCAGCAGCCACGGCTCGAAATGAGTGGCGCAGCCTCCGCGCTTTGCAAGTCCCTACATAAACAAGATCTAGATAGGTTATCACGCCGGCGCCATATTGGTTCAGATTCCCTCACGTTTCCGAAATGGCTATTTCCAAATAATTTGTGCGTAATACTGAGTATACGCGTTTCCCCTGTACTAAGCCTCTACCTGCACTTTCTTGCTGTAGCTGGAAATGCAGTCGACTGGCAAAGCAAGCTTGGCTAGGCCTGCAAATGACACGAACGTGTGACGATTTAATTTACGCCTGCTCGTTATGAATTCCTTAGATTGGTATAGCAAATCCTAATTGCAGAAAGACTCACCATGATTTGGAAACCTTTCATGAGGGGCATCCCCCTTAAGTCGGCATCCAATATCGCTTCGTTCATTCTGTTCAAGTTTTGGCGTCCATGGTGAATTTTCGCCCTGTGAGGGGCACATGCCTAAGGCCGGCCTTCGTTCGATTCATTCTCCGCGGGAAAGAAAATTATATATAAACAAAACAAAGAAAGAATGCAACGGAAGCATAGAAATTATCCTTTTCAAGCAAAATTCCTCTGTGCGTCTTCCCCTGAACAGGAATGACATTATACTTTTCAACCTGACCTGAAAAGGAGACTTCCACACTTTATTCATTAAGTCATGAGAGGACACATGGAAAATATCATACACAGTCCAGAACTTCTTCGCCCTAGCATATCATTCTCACCTCACACAATCTAGACCTATCTCAGTTCTAGTCACCCAGTTCTTCCGGCAGACTTTGGCCCTCCAAAATTCACGTCCCTCGGAGTTTGAGGGGAAACTAAACATCCAGAACCCTTCCGTTGAGGTGTTGGTACATTTAACTACAGAGCACCCCACCGTGGTAAAAAAAAAAAACGTTGCGAACACAAAGAGAGGCTTGAATTCCTATTTACGACGTGTGGGCACTCACACTCAGCCATGAACCAATGGTATGGTATGACGTGACGGCGATCAGCCAATAGGAAGCCACAGTTCGCTGCATTTCCGCATACAAAAGCTGTCCAGATCTTGTTTATCTAGGGCCTTGGCCCTATGTTCATACGAGCAGTTCCCTGTGGGTCGCTCTTGGAGGATTAGGTACGGTCATACTCCGCCAGGCGTTACTCGTAGCTTTCGACCCTTGACCCTATCCTATAAGTAGTCTGCCACCCCACTTTCCTGATTCCAATTCCTTTTCTTATTTGCACACACCCTCGTCCGCCAAGGGGCAACAGGGAACGCAATCCTAAGTTCATTGATTCCCCGAGCCCGTCCGCATAAATTACATAAAATGAAGGACTGGGCTCTGGGATGGAGCGCACATATGGAGTGCGGGTCCCCCTCTTCGTGTCAAAAGGTGAAGAAAGGAGCTGATTATACTGTACTGTGTTTCTTATCCTGAATGCTTTTGCCTGCGGACTAAAGTTTACGTCATCCCCCCTCGGGATTAGGCATTCCTGGGTCTTTGTTCCTATGCTCCTCCGTATCAGGCATTTCCGCGCTACCTCATGCAATCCTGATTTCCTTGACTGAGCCTTTTAGTTTATGATTTGTGCCGTCTCGTGCCTGATCCAGCTAAAACTTAGTCCTTTACCTTCCCAAACCTGATTGCAGTCTGAAGACGTGGATCACCGGCCCAGAGAGATCCAGTGACAACAGGGCCAGCTTCCGGCTCATTAGTGTATTATAACGTTGTACAGAGAGAGAAAGTGATCATAATAATAGACCAGAGAAAACCTGTGTTGTGACTCCCACCACTGGAAGAGGAAAAGGTGTCCGCTGGACACATCAGGAAGGTAATAATATTATTCGCTCCCTCGACTTCAAACCGATGCATCTCTCGTCTCTCCAGGTCAATCCGCGTTCCGTAGGTCGATGTGTTCATGCACGCACCCAATTTAATTGAACTCTGGTGTTGGTGATGCTCGTGCGTTCGTTTCCACATCATGTACTGTAGAATGTTATGACGTTCATGACTGCTCATTTCAGCAGCAGGAGAACCTCTTCTGTCAACGACAGAGTGGCAAGAATTTTTCATCTACGCTACAGGACAGTGTGCCGCAAGGATCCAGGTAGGTCGTAAAAAAGGAACACCCCCAGGCATGGGAAACTCAAAAGGGATCGGTTGAGCCAGGGGCAATGGCATCTCTCGCCATGCCATTATGGACCGAACTCGGACAGAAGCTGAGTCGAAGAGAGGCTAAGTCGACCATAAAGCTCTCTACTCTGAAAAGCATTAACTTCAACCTTCTTTCTGATGATAACAGAGTTTTAAGAGGATCTCCAGCGTCCCTGAATCAAAATACATGGTACTATGGCCCCACCTTCAACCATAAAAAGACACCATCAGTCTGCCCTCGCGTGAGGCTCTGGTAAAAGGGTAGGGTAAACAGGGGAGTATTGGTCCACTACTAAGTTTTTATTCCTATAAGATGCAAAAAAGTTTGCATAAGTTTTCCCTTAGAAAAACTTAGAGACAATATGGTAACCACAAATAATCCTAGATGTTGCTGGATTTCTGTTGTCCCTTGAGGGGAACATTTCTTCTTAATGCTAACATAGGGAAGATTCCAACTGAAGCTTTTTCTGCATCTTACAGGAATAAATCCTTAGGAATGATCCACTACTCTCCTGTTTACCGTATAGCGCAAAATTTTCTCACCCGTAGTGCTTCGGAGAGGGAATAAAGAAGAATCCTTAAACTGAATGAATTTATTTCTATGAAGGTCTAATTTCGCGGAATATCGCAATCTCCAAAAATTTTAACATGTCGAGGAATGAAAAAACAAGGCCTTCTTGGAAAGATTGCGCTGGAAGAAAAAAAATCCGGGGCTTTCATAGTATTTGGTAAAGTATTGCAAAAAAATTCCTATTGCACGTACAGGAACATATGCATAAAATACAGGAAAACCTTCCCAGGTTTCAAAGGTTGCTTCCGTGCGATGGAATTTCGATTCTTATTCAAATGAATTGGAGAATGACAGACTATCCACAGGCAAACCATAAGTGTTCAATTTTATTTCAAATCAGACAAGATCGATGAATTTCAATTTTGAGACGATATGAAGAAGAACCGTCTCGGTATCGTCCTGACCAATGTTGAGGATCTCGAGTTGATGACATTGAGGTGTTGCAATACAATTTACATGGGAGGAAAAGGTGGATTGCGAATTGGCTTGGATTTCGAAGAAACTCCTTTCGATCCGGTCTCTCGGTTGTGTGATTCCGATGTTGCGGCGGCCGGGGCTTTTCATTCACACTAGAATGGGTGCTTTGCCTTGTGCGAAGGCACGATGCGAACAGTGAAAGAGCGTTCCCCCTTGCTCCTGCAGAGGCGATCCGTTTTTTCTTGGTTGACCGATGTCGGGACAGAGGGGACGACGGGTTTGGTCCGCATATTCGCGGATAGATATCCCGCAACGTCGACGTGGAGAGTCGCATTAGGGCTTCGCGAAATACGTATTTCGCTCGGAGGACTGGAAAAATGCGACGTTACCTAATATTTTTTAGTCTTCTCTCTCGCGTCCAGTACGGATTTTTAGGGACTCTGCCTACATTGACCTCGTGCCACCTTGATGCTGAGGTGCGTGAAAACCACCACCATCCGATGATGCAACTTCCAATAAACACAACTGTTCCCAAAACATTATTGATGAGAGCCACGGCTACTACGCCCCCAAGGACAACAGCCGACAGAATCACGAGAAATGTCTGCATTCTCTTCATCCTTTCCTCCGCCATCCTCCCTTCCAAATCCTGGTGCCAGGTGTTAAGAGCCTGTGAAGAGGTGCTTTTCTTCAACATCGGACTGTCTCGCAAAAGGAAGGGTCCGGGAGACTGACCTCTACCAAGACTTCCTCGTATTCCTTGACAAGCCATTCCGCGACAGAGCGACTATTGTTCCGAAAACGTTTCAAAGTCGCTTCCATCTGTTTCTCGTGATTTTCCATCAGCGTCCCGCCCTTCACCACCACTTCTCCGTAGAACTCGTTCCTCCTCCTCTTGTACTCTTCAGCGGCGCTCCAGCACGCCTTCTCCAGCTGGAACTCTGCTCTTTCCTCTGCAGCCCGACGTCTTTCCTCGCTCTGGGCATGCTTCTGAGCCAATACCTATAATGTCAGAAAAGGAAAAATGCCATGGTTATTAGTAGTATGTGCAGAGGCACTGGTATGCAGAGGTTGTTACTTAAAAAAAGGGAAGCGATCGCCTTTTAACGGGGAAAGTATGAAAAATGATTCAGATTAGTCGATCCTTTTAATGTAAGACCGATTATAGTTTACAAATTTTTCATAATGATCATCACATGACGGAAAAAAGAGTGCATTCGTAACATTGGAATATTGAGAAGAAATATCAACATAATCAATTAATTAGAAAGTGATCAAGTTGGCATAGTTTGGCATGATTTTTCAATTACTTGAAACAATCTGCGTATTTCTCACGAATCATAATATGCATTGTGTGCATATTTTGGTTTTCTAGGGTCAGGAGAACTAAAGTATAGTTGAGGATCTTCCTCATATCCTTCACGTAAT